AGCATCGTGCGGTAGATTTCTGAGGGCATTCAGATGCTGCCGCTCTATTCTCCTCTTCTCTCCAAACCTCTGTTGCAAGATGGTGATCGCTTCGGCATAGCATATTTCTGTTGTTGGTAGCCCGGCAATCGCCGCAGCAGCATCTCCCGTTAGACGCCGACGAAGGTAGTGGAACTTATCTGTGGTTGTTAAAGTTGCATTGGTATGGATGGCTCCACCAAACTGCTCCCAGAATGTGAGCCAGTTGCTTTGCTCTCCATCGAAGGTAGATAGCTCCAGCTTCGGAAGCTTTGGTCGACGTCTCGCTGCGTTGTCTTGAATGCCGGTTTGGTTTCCGGTGCTCGCCGCCGAAGCTATTATTCTCTGCGATTGTAGGGACTCAATCTTGGTCTCGAACTCGCTGATCACCATGACGGCTTCGTCTTGGTATTCTGCAGTGGCGGTGCACTCACTTACCAGCTCTTGGATTGGAATTAGCGGCTCTAGTCTGTCCTTGATCGAACGCACTCTTGCTAGGTCGGGGCTGGGATCCTGGAGAATCCGATTGGCGTCGTTCATTATCCTAGTGTTCTGTGCCCGCCGAGCCGACCGCCTAGCCTTCAGCCTCTCCATTGACTATTCGTATTTACGAGGCCGTACGGTCGCCTGCCAAGGTTCCGTCGCTGTTCTTTTCCCAGTGGTCTGCTCCCGCCAAGGAACTGCTGAATTCCGTTGCAGCTGCAGGATTGAAATTCCCTGCGGCGTGTAGCTTGGGCCCTTGTGAAGCGGGACACTCCCGGGTTTCGGCACCATATGTTGAGGAACCAAGGAATACGAAGGCAATTACGCTAGACAAATCGGTCGGTGCGACCTTTTCCTTTACTGTTCGTTTTTCAGACTGATAAAAATTACAAAATGCATGAGCTCCCGCCGCTCCTCTTCTTCCTCATCGCCCGGTTGCAACAACTTTTTTCTAAGTGTGACATGACACCTATATATTACACTTATTAAAGCAGCGGCTAAGTAACTAAAAATATATTTATGCAGCAAAGCTGGTATTATCAATAAATGATTCAGTACATTATACTAAAAAATATATAATTAGAGAACTAGGAAAATAGTAAGGAGATAACTGTTTTTAGAAATAAATGACAAATTTTAGACCATTTGGGGCAGAAAAAGTTAACAGTATTTATTTATTTATTTTGACCGGCCAACAAAGAGTGGGTCACTCAAAGCGTAAGTATAAGAGCTTTAGGTATCAGCAAAGTATAAGAACGAAACAAAATAAACTACACAAGTTTCTGGACTTACTGATGATGGCATTCTTTTCCTTGTCGATGCATTGCTTCGCGGGGATGTCTTTTCGAGCAGTGTGCAAGCCTTTTCATGTAGAGACTTTGTTCGCCTCTCCTCCACGGTGAAAACAATGCGCACCAAGTGCCGGGCAAACTTGTGTGGTTGGAATTCATAGTTTTTGTTGATTGTGGCCAGCAGTGTTGCAGTAACAGCTTTATGCGTGTTACCCACCAGAAAGAAATTGATTTGTGTGTGTGGATACTAAGGCCGCGCGATGCTTCTCTTCACGCTTGGTCGTTTCTGTACCACATCGCTCGCTTGTATTTGTGGACCGAGGCACCGAAATGAACAAAAATTTTAAGCAAACTGCAAGAGTCCATACATTCGTGAAATAGCTTATTAGTGAAGTTGAAAGTACCGGTCGTGGTGATAATTTTCTCGTCGTAAAATTCTGCACGAGTTCGGCTGTCTCCACGCCACCAACAGTAGTAAGTTCGGTCGGCATCGAAATCGTTTACACTTTCGGGTTGGAAGTCCTTTATGGAAGAATTCAGCAGTTTTCTTAAAGCCATCCAGGACATACTTGACTCAGACGATATACATGATCAGCTCGGGTGCGGCAATAGAAACAGGACAGCGAATATGACGAACAAAATCATGAATGTACACAAAGTGAGGAAATGGGAATCCGGGTGACTCGGATCTCGGGAAAGAGGCGCGCATTATAATCTAGTAGTGGAGTAACTCGGTAACTCGCCCTTCCTGGTTACTACAGTAAACATAAATATGTATTTCAGGTATAATTTTTTATTCTGATATATTTGAACTGATAAATAAACATGAAATATGTTCCAACGCCTACAACGCTTTTGGCAATAAAGCACACATCCAGCCGTGACGCACCTGCGCACCGCGGGTGGCGCTAGCGCGCTGGGACAACTCTCCGGAGTTACGTTAATGGCGAGTTGTGCCTGAAGCCACCGTACAAGTACTATGCACAAGTGCATGTGTTGATGTTTGTGCTGGACTTGCAATCATGTTATTTTTATGTCTACACATGCGGTGAGCACGATTCCACTGTGTTCGTTCCCAGGAACGACAAGTTTTTGAGCAATGCGATTCCCTCTCTAGAACGGTTTTATTTCAGCTGGTACTGCTAGTCCTTGCACAAAAGTACCAGCTCTAAGCATGTCAGTACAAGTGATGTAAAAGACAGAACAATAAAGTACTGCATTCAATTCACTGCAGACAATATGACTCGCGACAACGTTCCATGTGTTTTTTTGCATACTTGCCGGTCTTTTTAGGAAGTGGTGGTTTAGAACTACGCTGAAATGTAAAGTCCAGTACACAAAATATAATCTTGCAATCAGAATGTTTAGTTTTCTGCTAAAGTGTGTTATTTTTATTTGCTGTTGTTTTATTCTCATTGGCATAAACAATGCTACTTATAAAACGTGCTCCGATTTGACACTTTCATTATAGAATAGAACCACAAGGGCATGGAAAATACACTCGTTGCTATCAATCATCTTTGCATCTCATAAAAAAGGTGTTAGCCATCTTTTACGGCACGACATCACATATCATACAGAAACACTTAAATCAATCTCTGGCGCAGAATTCGGTTGCGGATAAGAAGCCTACGCTGGTACCCAGGAAGAGCCAACCCCACGAGAGAAATTGGAGCTCTGTACCTAGCCTCGCCATGCGTCTGAATGTACCTACATTTGCTGCCATTTATTCCTTTGGCTTGATAATGGCAGGTTGCAAATTTGCCAGCGTACAGCACATGTTGAAGCGTCATCCATCGGGGGGATCAGAGTAATGGGCACCGTTGTCCCGAGTATATTAATTCGCTGTATCATTCGCTCAACGTGAATTCGGACCTGGGCAAAGTAGTGTGTCGCACACTTCTGGCTCACTGAACTGCCCATGCACCGATAAAAAAGGCGGCATCACGAGCACCGCATCAGTGTCTGCCAGACTTTCCCTGATACCCGGAAAACATTTGTCAGCCAGTATTACGTCCCCGGGCTGCACAATGTTTCAGAACCTAGAGTCCACCGTAAAATGGATGTCGGAGCATCGGCCTCCGTACGCCATTGAACGGAAACAAATAGCCCCATTAGGGGTATAGCAACCAGAAACTTAAGAGTGTAGCCACTCACGTAGCTCGAGTACAGCACGCGCTGCTGGCCTACACTATTCGGCGTCTCTGTTCTCACTTCGTTGGAATCAATATTCATTTTGAATTTAAGGTAGTGGGCTTCAATACACTCTGGCAACATAGCCCACATAATGCTAAATAGAGGCCGAAAACTCCACCTCGCTGTCGCAGCAGTCAGCGTTGTTAGCACAGCTCGAAAGTGGCGTGATGCCGTTGTTCTGTCAACACTAAAAGTACACCAAGTGCAGTGTAGCTCAACCCGAGTTTCAGCTTCATTAGAAAGAAGAGCAGCCGGTTCCCCAGCGTCAAACACAGCTCCGCTCGGGGACAAGGGGCAGCATGCTCAAAAACAAAGCAAATGCACTCATGCTTAAATTTCAAATGCCTTGTAACGAATCCTCTGAATGTTGGATGCCTTCATGACCTCCGAAGAAACTTGTCCTCTCAGCTGGACCTGAATATTTGAAGATACCCATGGCCGGTGCTGTGTCCTAAAGTCGCAAACTTCGCGATGTGTGATTTGTGTGCAACCATCTCCACCTTCGAGGAAGGACGTGTAGGCTGCAAAGCCTCGACTGTAAGTACCGAGATCATCGGTCTGGATGTCCTTAAAGAGCATTTCCTATTTTGCGAATTTAGAGAGGCCAGCCATGAAACGTGCATTGTTTTGGTGCTGAAAGACAGGTGCTCTAAGGGAACTAAGGCTCTATGTGTGCACTGCGGCGTGTGTTACAATCACCGTACTAATTTTGATTGCCACAGAATTAGTCTTTCCGCTATTGGCAGTGAGTGGCTGTAACTAGCATCCCGGATTCCCTGACCCCAACTGCGACGGCGCAGGTCAGTCGGCACATATTTTTTTATTATCCGACTAGCTCGGCTTTTGATATGCAGATTTAGTGAATGACATATCACCTGGTTTTCTGATGCTTTCCCGAGTTTCTGTTTCAAAATACCACCTCCCAACAAAAATTAAAAAGAAAAATTGGGTTCGATTTTTGGTCTGGTTATGCAAAACTAAGAGATTGATTCCTCTACGACTTTTTGAAGAGCTGGTTATCTTAGCTCGCGTCTCCAGTTTAGCATTGTCCTGACTTCGATGTATTCTGGTTTGTGTCAGATACCTTACTTGAACCGCAATAAACTCACTTACTTTGTTATTATTGGCGAATCTCACTTCGAGTGATCCATTCGACGGAGAGTGCAGTAGCACTTCCCATGATCATAAAAATCATTAAAGCAAAAGCGAAAGAAGTGTCGAAAGCACGAGCCAGGTTTTTTTTTTTTAAAATGCACGGTGTTCTTTACCTTCCGATTGGCTCATACTCGAGTATATTTTTTATTATTTTTCTACCTTTCGGGGTCTGCATAAAATCAATGCCGGCTCAGACTCAAGTAAATAGCGTACCGAAACAAAATCGATTTCATAGTACGGCTGTAACCGTAACAAAGCTGCCAGTTTTTCGGTTTGAGTTCCTACTTTTCAGCTTCTGTTGCATTTTGCTGCAATCAAAAGATGGCTGGGAACAAGTCAAAATAACAACCAACTCACCACTGAACACTTCTTCTGAAGTTCTACAGCTTTACGCAGCAGCTCCAATTCCCGTTGTGGGCTTCCACTGCAATCTGAATCATGCTTAGAAAACACTGGGCTGGTTCCACCTGTAGATGGTAATCCTGAAGATCCTGCAGTTGAGGCAGCTGAACATGTTGATCGCTCCCACCACCTGCAAACAAGTATGCACAATCAAATACATATCTGCTAATTTTGCGCTATACACTTCCTATCAGAATACTGAGAATCGCAGGTGTCATGTCACATGTTCAATGCCATAGAAGGACGAAATGAATGCCATGGACTCCCAGTTGGGCGAAAAGGTTCCGTTTACAAGGTACACTTTAAGTGCGACATTGTCATCTTTGGTGTGTCATTAGAGCGATTTGAGAAGTGGTTTGCAGAGAAGGCCTCTAGGCCTCATAGAGGCTTCTTAGAGAGCTCTAGGCCTCTAAAAAGCACTTATTTATGTCAAATTATTTTTAAACACCACCGCCACCCCACCGAGCACCACCCGTGAGGGCAGCTCAAACACCACCACCACCGCCACCGCCACCGCCACCGCCACCACCGGCAAAAGCGCCACCCGCGAGGGCAGCTCAAAAACCACCACCACCACCCCAAGCGCCACCCGCGAGAGCAGCTCAAACACCACCACCACCACCCATATTCTCTGATGACGAAGACGCGGAGTATCTGGTACTCGATAGTTATAGCGCCTCGTCGTCGTCTGCGTCTCCACCACCCGTTTCGTCGCATACCCATCCCGCAGCTAGAAAGAAAAGGGACTCGGAATTGGACGACGCCTCTGACCGCGCAATGTTGTTTACAAACGAAGAATACGGAATGATGGAGTCACCGGCATCGAGCGCTATAGAAACCCCCAGGTATTCCGGCGTGACGCCGTTTCACGTTCCGCAATACAATTTTGAACTGGCCGAAAGTAACGCGGACAAGGTGGAAGCCATCAGGCGACAGTTTAGAGAAATCTTGGGCCCTATGACGATCGAGACCTTAAACCATTACACGGTAGATCAGGGTTTTGCCTACAAACTCGAACGCGCCTTTGAGGAACTCGGCGCGGTGCGCCAACGCGAATTCCTCTACAAGGCGCTCGTGGCAGTTAAGCGCATGACCAGGGTGGACGTTGCCTTACGCAACGTGATCGAGTTTATAAATTTTGTGCTGCGCCGAGACGACTACAGGGTCATGAACGTCGTGTTGAAAGACAACAAAATCGACGTCGAGTGCTACGAACGGGTCGACATCGTGGAGAAGCAAATCTGCAAGCGGCAGTGGCGAGTCGAATTTAAAGAAAAGTATGGACGAGAACCGAGCCTGGCCGAGGAACTGTCCAGAGATCGCGACTTGAACGCTCGAGCGTTGTGTGATGCGGTGATGGATTACGAGGGAGGGCCCTCGATACTACAATTATAAAAATGATGGAATCGGACTCGCAGAAAAAAATATTGAGGAAATTCATCGAGGACTTTGTGATTGGTGAAGACATTTGGGAACACACTGCCGTCGTTTATAAACCATATCAACACCTGTACACGGGCGACGTGTTGCGATACTTGCGGATTCAAACGGCCATCCGAATGATCATGGACGACGAGCAAAAAAAACCTACGAGAGCCCTATGAGACGCTCTGTTTGAAAACATATCCACGTTCGTTCGTTTCGAGAGAATGAAGAATAAGCGTCGACGGACCGGCGCCCGCCGGACAAAGAAGACGGGTGAGGGATTTTATTCCCTGACAAAAGTCCCGGACATTAGTAGTCTACCGACAGACATGCGATTGGAAATTGAAAAGTCCTTTACTCCTAATCCGAAATTGAAGACTCAGCTAAATAACCTTCTTCTGAGAAAGGCGATCGTACAATACTGTAAGCAGCGTCAGTACGACATATCGCAGTACCCGACAAACGTTCTGGCCAAACGCTACAAGTTTAGAGAGATACCCCGCGACGTCCGCGAACACTTTGAAAAGGGAGTCGTCACCCACAACTCTGTCACCAAGCACCCGCTTTCGACAACGTTTCGCGAAAACGCCATCGCCGTCAAGGTCTCTTCTTACGTGAACAAACTCAAGAACAAAGAGCGTCTTCCGACGCGCGTTCCAGAAAATGTCGAGGCTCTGTTGAGAGGCATGGCTTTTAACGAGTAAATAAAAATGGTCAAATGTTCCAAGTGCGGTTTCTCGAAACGAACCGCCAGAACAAAGTGTTCGAGATGCAACAGGAACGGTCGTAGACTCGATACGAGAAAGCCGTATCGCCTCGAACATTTCACCAAGGAAGATCAAAGGCGCATTCTCGGCTCCATGCGGGTTAAACGAGGACAGAGTCCAACCTACCTGAAACTTTTATTGGGGAAACTAATTCAGGCCTTTGCTCGCAAACACCGACTGCCGGCGTCATGTCCGATCAATCGAGCCAGGCACGCGCTGATAACTCACGCGATCCTCGACAAGATTCGACCATCGAGTCAAAGAACGAGGAGGAGTCGTAGCAAGAGCGTCGCGCGGCGGAGGACTAGGAGCAGGAGCGGAAGCGTCGCGCGGCGGAGGAGCAGGAGCGGAAGCGTCGCGCGGCGGAGGAGTAGGAGTAGGAGCGTTCTCTCCTCGGGTCGAAGAAGAGGAAGGAAGAGGAGTCGCAGCGTCGGCAACAGGAGGAGCCGTAGCATTTCCATCAACCGAGGCCGACTCGGTCGCAGCGTCAGTGTCGGTAGGCGAACAATGTCCAGAAACGCCAGCAGCGACTCCAAGTACATGTATCCCGTGTAATAAAAAAATGTATCAAGTGCGCGTGGATTATTCTTTCGACCAACTCCCGCCGAGCCTGCTCAGGTTTCTCACGAGCGCTCACGAGGGGTTGCGGTCGGACAAGAACCGTCTCATAAAGCGTGCCAACGACGTGATCAGAGACTTTCAGGTCTTTAAGATGCACAAGCGCAGCGCCCCAATTTTCGTCAATCAATTTCCAGTTCACGTGTTGAATGACATGTACTCGATAGTGCCCGTGCGTAACAAGAAGGGCGACGTCATGTGCGGAAGGGAGTACGCCGAAACGGCCAAGGCTATTCGATCTAACTCGTTCTATCCCGTGTTTAAAGCGAGAAGCGACGGCGCAGCCCTGTTGGAAACCAAAGTCGGTAGGACCACCGGAGATAATCATTCGCCCTACGTTTCGGGAGTCTTGGTGGACGTAAACATTGACAAGATATCTAGCAAGTTTCACGACGTGGTCACCAGCCGCTCGATCAAGGTGGGGCAGTGGATCGACGTGATTCGCGACCCACCGCCGTCCTTTCTGGAAACCATAGTCGTGGCCTACGAGATGGTCGAGCTAGGCGAGTTGTATAGGACAATAAACGGCGACTTTACAAACTTGCCCACGCACGACACGTATTATTCCGACAACATCGTGCACCGAGAGTCTGGTGCAAAGTTTCGTCCAAACGCGCGCGACAACGTGCGAAAGGAATTCAAGTATCGCGTTTCCAATCGCCCCAACTACAGGATCGTGGACGACTCGGAAAAGAGACCGCTGGGTCCGTCCACGGATAGCTTCTTCCATTCGACCGGCGGAGGCCGCTACAAATCGACTCTGCGTACCAGACGGACGGTGTACGAGACAAATAATAATAATATTAATAATGAGCCCAAGTTTCACGGAAATTCGGACGACGACTACGCTGAGCGCAACGTGGATAGCGACGACGACGCTGAAGACGGTGACGACGGTGACGACGACGTCAGTGACAAGATCAGGCGTTACAAGTACAAGAGATACTACACCGAAAGCGATCACATTATGCGAGCTTTGCGCAACGTCTAGTACGTGTCTTTTTTGAAATAAACAAACAATCATTCGAGAGGCTTTATTTTTCTACATACACAAAACGTACGTATATATACGCGCGCCTGCCGAAGCGCGTCGACAAACGTAGAACATGACCGGAGTAGCATCCAGCGTGTCCAAAGTGTTTCGCGAGGCCACCAAGTTTGATCAATCGCGAACCTTCGACTGGAGCAGAGTAGTGGCCAACGTTTATTCGGAAGACTCAAATGAGGAAGAGTTTGAACGAGAGAGGGTCGTCCTGTTCTCCGAAATTTGTAAACTTTCTCATGTGTCCGCGAACGCTCTGACCGTTTTGGACCTTGTCGACTATCCGACCTTGGAGGACGCACAATTGTTGTACATTGTTTGTACGTATACGCACCTCAAGACCATACTCCTGAGGAACGCCCCCCTATTGTCAAACTCTGCTCTACAATACTTGGCGACCTACGCTCAATCTCTCGAACATCTTCAAATCAGCAACAACGGTGGCCGTATCAGGAACGAGGGATGGATTCATCTGGCTCCTTTGCGTCGACTCAAGAGTTTGTGTCTGACTGGAATAAGAAACGCCAGTCGAGCTGTCCTTCGAGTGATATTGCAGAACAACGAATCTATATACGCTATCTTGGTGATAACGACGGAACTCTTCGCCTCTAAAGATAACGTGACGCACTTTGTCTTTTGCGCTTCGAATCAGTTGAGTCAGGAAATGTACGATTTTGTTTTTTGTAGCGAAACGTTAGCTCCGTTTTCAGATAGCGAGTGAGGGTATATATATATATATATGTACTCGCACGTACTACGCTTACAGCAAAGCTAACCCTACCCTCTCCCCCGACATCACGACACGACACGACTACTACCCTATAACCCAAAGCGACAATGGCTCGACTAGACAGGTCCCCATCTCTCCCGCTGGCCGACACCTGCGTACAAGTGTTCGCTCAGTCCAGAGTGTCAAGCGCGGTGGATTGGAAAACAGTGGTGCTTAGTATATACCACGAAGAAGAGGGCTACGCTTGGGACAACGTGGAAGGGCAAATTCACTGTGCGTATACCGAAATTTCAATATTAAGAAGCTTTCCTACGCACATCACATTCTTGGAGTTGGTGCACTATCCAATGCTGCGAGACCGCCACGTCAGTGATTTGGTTCGTTTCTACCCGAACATCAAGACTTTGCTCCTACGTCACGCACCCGGCTTGACCAACGACTCTGTAAAGTGCTTAGCGGACGGTCTACCTAATTTGACTCACTTGCAGATTGATCGTGCCTAGACCTAGACGACGAAGCCTTGATGTATCTCGCAGAAAAGAGGATCATCGACGTTGGCATACGGAGCCTCTGCATGACCGGACTC